TTGATTCCAATAATACTCCCAAGCTTTTAGCCTCACTTACTTTTTGTAAATTTTCGTTTTTTATAACAATATGTACACTAGACTGGGCCAAAAAAATAAAACAATTTTTTTTCTTAGCGGAACTATGAAAATATTGTTCATGACGACAAAAAAAATTTTTCCTGAAAGTTTGAGCCCTTAATAATAATATTAAGAGGTGCATCATTGCAGTTATTGATTTTTTAACAGTTGTCGCGTTTTTGCATAAATTTCGGACTTGGTCAATTTTAAAAAAAATTTTCATCTCTTATCCTTGTAGGAAATTAAATTCCCCACAAAAAAGCTCTCTTAGTAAATTTTCGTAAGACGAGTCTATTCTTTGTAATCTTAATATTTAAGTTCATTTTGGAAATCCCAAATGCAAAGTGAAAAATTGAAAATATATACCAATGTTTAAGGCTCGATTACAAAGAATAGACTCGTCTTACGAAAATTTACTAAAAGAGCTTTTTTTGTGGGGAATTTAATTTCCTACAAGGATAAGAGATGAAAATTTTTTTTAAAATTAACCAAGTCCGAAATTTATGCAAAAACGCGACAACTGTTGAAAAATCAATAACTGCAATGATGCACCTCTTAATATTATTATTAAGGGCTCAAACTTCCAGGAAAATTTTTTTTTGTCGTCATGAACAATATTTTCATAGTTCCGCTAAGAAAAAAAATTGTTTTATTTTTTTGGCCCAGTCTAATGTACACTATTATTATTATCAATTTCATTCAATTTGCTTTTAGTACCAAAAAGTAAGATGTTAGATTTTGAACAATTAATATTCAAACAATGATCCTCAGCATTGTTAATAAAATTATATAGATCTTTGTTTATTTTATTGCAAGCTTCGACTGTCATGTCAGGGGAAAAACTATAATATATTTGGGTATCATCCGCATAAAAGTGTACATTACAAGACTGGAGGCTTTTAACAAGATTTGAGGTATATAGCGTAAACAAAAGAGGTCCCAGAATAGAACCCTGAGGTACTCCACATTTTAAATTCATATAATGAGAGGATTGTTCATCAACAACTACCATTTGTTTTCGACCAGAAAGGTACGATTCTAAAAGATCTACGGCGGTCTTTTGAAGTCCTAAATAGCTTAAAATTTCTAACATCAAATCATAATTAATTGTATCAAATGCTCTGGTAAAGTCAAGTAGCACCAAAATACTACATTTTCCTTGGTCCATAGCCCTTACAATGTCATCAACGATATGGAGAAGAGCTGTCGTACAACTATATTTTTTCCTAAATCCAGATTGAGTTACGGGAAGCAAAGAATAGTTATCTAAATGTTGCTTTAGTTGATTTTCTATAGCTCTTTCGAGTACTTTAGATAAAGTAGGCAAAATACTGATCGGACGCAAGTCCTTTAACTCAAGGGGATGAGATTTTTTAGGTAAGACTTTTACAATAGCTCTTTTCCATGTTTCAGGAAAAATGCTATTTTTTAAACAAAAATTAATGATATGAGTTATGTAAGGAACTATATATGGGCAACATAATTTCAAAAGTCTTAGATTGAGCCTATCTTCACCAGCAGCATTTGTGGTTATATTATTAATTGCCTGAAAAACAAATAAGTCATTTACTTCCTGAAATTTAAATTCTGAGTTTACTAATTTTTGATTTCTATACCACAATAATAACCGTTCAGGAGGTTCTTTTACAGTGAATGAATTAATAAAAAAGTCATTTATTGCATTAGCGTTTTTTAAATGTATTGGTATCGTGTTTGACTTAGTATGCACGATGTTGTGTGCTTTTAAGGTTTTCCATAGGGTCTTACTTTTTTTATTGCTCAGCTCATACATGAAAAAAGCTTTTTTTTCACGTCAAATAGCCGAGTTTGTATAGTTCCTCATATCCTTATAAAACTGAAGATGGCTTCTGACTTTGTTTTCCTGTACCTACTTAATGCTTTATCCCGAATTTCAATAATTTCCTTAATAGTTCCTGTTAACCAGGGAGCTCTTGGTTTAGTAACACGCGACGTAACCAAAGGTATATGTCTGTCGAATAATTCCATCAAGCAATTAATTAGAAAAGAAATTTTATCATCAGCGCCTTCCTGGTCGAAAATTCTAAAAAACGGCGTGTTATAGAGATCTCTCTGAAAATTATCATTATTAAAATATTTAAAAGATCGGTAGGTAACGACTCTAGGGACCCTTTTCTCGATATTTAATTTGACTTTACATAATGCTATATCATGATCAGCAATAATACCAGTAACTTGGATAATACCCTTCTCGGTTATTAAATCAGGTGACGCTATAATACCATTTAACAAGGTCGCTGTGTTAGCCGTAATTCTTGTGGGAGTATCCATGACTTGACTGAGACCAAAACATTCTAAGACAGATGTAATTTTCTCAACTGTAGCATCTTCTATATCTAAAAAATCTATGTTTAGGTCTCCACCACATATTATTTCATCCACCGTAGGATAAATAATACCAAGAATATCCTCAAATTCATTTATAAATAAGTTTTTATTTCCTTTAGGAGGCTTATATATCCCACCAAGAGCAACAGTTTTATTTTTTATTTTTATCTTAATCCAAAGTTGTTCTGATTCCATTCCCTGATATGAAAGTTGTTCACTGAGTATTTCATTATTTATATAAATACCTAAACCTCCCCCTCTTAAACCATCACGATCATTTCTATATAAAGTATACCCTTCAATGTAAACTAAATCATTTGTTATATTTTTAGTTAACCATGTTTCACAAACAAATAATATATCAAGTTTATTTTCATATATAATTAACTTTACAGTGTGCACAGAAGGCAAAAGTGAGCGAGCGTTGAGACTTCCTATATGTAAATTATGTAGCATTTAAGTATTTCGGACGATAAGGTGTAAATAGAAATAAATACAAAACAAAAAATTAAGATAAGCAAATAGGTATTTATAAATTATAAGTTTTATGCTAATTCGAAATAAACGTTAAATGTCAATTGCACGTATGTGCTACTATTTAATCCTACTTAGAAATATTAGCTTTAACAGCTTCGCTGCCATCAATATGTTTGTATGGAGTGAGAAAATCCGATACAATATTTTAAGTTATTCGGCCTTAAGGCGGGTCGTTTATGCTTTTTGTTGTACTTTGACAACATTTCTATAATTTTTTATTTGATTTATTAAAAAAGAAAATATTCCGCAGATGTGCGGGCATGGCACCTGGCTTGAAAATTTCTATCCAAGTGCCAGGCCCGCAAAAATGCGGAGCAAGAATACTGCTCTGTAATTTATTATAAAAGTATAAGTCATTGGTTATTTAACATAAAACAAATAAAATAAACGTAAATATTCCTAAATAATAATATGTTACACAAACATATTCGTGAAACATTTTAGAATGAAGAGCCAATTCAAAAAAAAAATGTTATATAAAGGAAATAAACATAAAAGACTTCATCACAAAAAACAAAAGCACAGCTTTGATAAAATAAAATAGAATAACTTCAAAGTGAAGAATGATATGCATCGAAACATTCGAAGCATAGACCAGGCTTTTCGTTACACATTTCACAGTGCCAGATGGTGTCTTTCCGTTTCTTCGCTATTTTTGAACACATCCGACACATTTTCCTCTTGAGTTTTCCTTTAGCATTTTTTTCAGTTATTTTGCTGATTTTATGCGGCACTTGTGTTCTAGCTCTGCTTAGAGTAGCAACGACGGGGGCACGTTTCTCTGGTAATAACTTATCTATTATTGACAGACGATAATCATATATTAAGTGTAAAGGTTAAAGAAAAAGTCCTTTATTTCTCACAAAGTCAATTTATTGGCGACCGGTTTCGAAGTTGTCACTTCATCATCAGGCACACCTTGACTAATTCCATAAAGCGCTTCCTTTATCACATCCCTTATTTTTAATTCATGGTCACAAACAGCTTGCATCTATAATAAATTAACAAAAATTAAATACACTGTTGGACAATCTTTTAAATTTAATGTCTTACTTGTATTGAATAATATTTTTTCTTATTAATATAGGGTTCAGGATCTTCCATCGGTTTGTCGATTTGAATGTGACATCCATCGATAGCACCAATTACATTGGGAAACCCATTAGTCCTAAAATATTGTTCAATATTTTGTTTTTCTTCTTCTGAAGGCCATGTAATTATTTTAGAAGCCAAACTGCTTAAAAAATAGGCCATTCTCTTTAAAATTCTGTGTAATGAGCTAATAGAGATGTCAAATCTATCAGCAACATCACGAAACCCAGATTTTTGGTGACCAGCAAGCCACAAAAATATTAAAACCTGCAAACATCAATTTCTTAATTAATTAAAGAATTGAATCGGAGAGTTCGAAAACCGTACAAGTCCAAAATTTAATATTTTAAAGTAAGATTTTCATTGTGTTTTAAAATTTGTCTCTTCATCGATTGAGCTGAAAAACCTTACTAGATACTTAGCCATTAACGTAGCACAGTTAATTGTGTCCGTGAAATGAGAAAAAAAAAACCTTACATGTTCGTGACTCGTACGGTTTTTCAACTCAATTATAAAATGAACATTTTGGACGTGTACGGTTGTCGGACTCACCGATTCAATTATTTGTAGTTAATTATTTTATTATATTTATTATATGTTTTACCTGATGGTAGGCTGACGTGTTTCTATGGTGTCCAATATGATCACCATAAAATTAACTATTATTAAAATTGTCCGATTGTCACTCCACGACTAACTCTGAAGTGTTAAAAAAATACATTCTCCGTATAACTCGGTACAATTTCATCTAAAAAAAAATTTAAGGTTAACACCAAATATTTTAAATATCAGTAGAATTTATAAAAATATTTATTATACATAATTATAAAAGGCCTACCTAAATAGTTTTCGTTTTTTTTTCTGGGCTCTATTTTTTTATTATACAAAGTGAATTAACTTAATATTAACTTAACACAAAAAATATATTTACACAACATAATAACTAAATTATTGTTAAATAATAATTAAACATTGTAACCACTTTGTCGTCTATCACTTAAAATTAATTTGTACATTGAAAATGAACGCTCTTCTTCGACAGATGTAATTGGAGCATATTTAAGAGCGGATAATAAATCTGGCTGAATTTGTAGTTCTTCGGAAAATGTCCCATTCAAAATTTTGGCAACATTAGACAAAAACAAGAAACCTTCATTCTTGTTAAAAACATCTTTCATTTTTTTAAAAATTAATTGACCATTACTTCCAGGTGCTGACTTAATTTTTGACTTTAAATTACCTACTAATTTTACTGACTCACATAAATTTACTTCTTGTCGTTCTAATAAGGTAATTGTGCTAACTATTAATTTATAATTGCCATTGATATAAGCTAGTTGCTGTTTTAATTTCGGATTTTTTAATATTTTTTTTGCTTCTCGAATGGCTTCGGAAATATTATCATTAAATTCTGACATTACTAATTGTATTTCATCGCAGTGTTCAAAGTAAAAGAAAACTGCTTCGAGCCACGTTCCCCACCTTGTAATTACTGGTTTAGGTGGCAAAGGGACACCGGGAAGTTTTTCTTCATATATCTGCACCCTCAACGGAGCCTTTAGGAAAACTTTTTTCATACAATTTATATAATCATTCACCAACGGAAACAGATTTCTTATTTCTTCTGCAATTCGATTTACCCCGTTATAAAAGGGGAAAAGATTAGGGATTCCTAAGCCTTAATCTCTAACAGGTACATTTTCCTAGAAATCCATTATCAACAAACCATTGATATTCTATTATTGACCCAAAATGTTGTTATAGAAAGTAATCGTAATATGAATAATATCATGGGTAGTAGCAAAAAAATTTTAAAAAAGGCATAAAAAGCCGGAATTTACGAAAAAAGGCAAAATGTACAGAAAACACATCGAATAGGCATAATAGGCAAAAAAAGGCATTTTGCCTATAATCCGAGCTTTAATCATGATTATTCTAATAACATTTACTTACACCACTTTCAGCCACACTACATCCTTTATAGAATTTATCGCACAAAATCGCCAGGATTTTTAATTCTATGGAAGAAAGTTTTTGAAAACGTTTTATTTCACTGGCTTTTTTTAAATTACTTTTGCAATCGGTCCATGTCTATAATAAAATTGTATAGTTAGGAAAGAAAAGACCATATAATAATTATTAAACAATTTAAAATTTGACAACCACTTTGTAGTGTTTTATATGAAACTAAAATTGACTTACCTTTCGCCACTTTTTTGTTGATTTCTCCCCATATCCAGCCGAGTTCAATCTTGAACTTAACTCGCTTCATAATTTTCTGTAATTGTCAGCACTTAATCGTCCCGTTGCAAATTCAGGATATTGCTCAAAAAAATTTTAAAAAATTTTATACTACCTACATTGTATCATATTGTAAATTGTATCGAATTGTAAAGTATTGTAAATTGTATAAATAAATATAAAACATCCTTTTAATATTAACATGTACATTCAACAAATGGCAAATAAAAATAATTACATCATTTAAGCCCTTTTTATTCAAGAATAATCTCAAACCTCAACAATATAATATAGATCTGTAAATTTGCTTACCTACATGAACAAAGGCAAGTTTTTTCTTTAAATTTCAAATGTGCTGCTTATGAGTCATGAGCTTCAAAAGTAAACAGTAATTATGTAATCAACAAATTCTTTTAGATTGCATTACCAATAAATACAACAACAATAATCTTCTCAAATTCGTATTCGGTAAGCGCCAATAATTCCCGGCCTGACAATGAAGGAGGCAAAGTATAACAATAATTTTTGATTATTTTTCAATGTAATCTTCCTTAACCTCAATGCACTTCTTACAACGTTTAATTAACAATTCAATCCCTTTAAAAAAATATTCTTTCGGTTTATCTTCAAAATGGACCAAAACAGTTCTTGTAACTCAAAATCGTCCCAAAAACGTCGCCCGCGAAGGTTCTTTTTCAAATAACTAAACAAATAATAATCGCTGGGAGCCATATCTGGACTATAAGGAGGGTGATCTATATTTTGAAACCCGCAATCTAGGATGGCAGCTTGTGTAACGCCAGCAGTATGAACGGGCGCATTGTCGTGCAACAACCGCACGCCTCTGGTTAATTTTCCTCGACGTTTTTCCCGAAATTCCCGCAACTTATGAAGTAATGCGGCATAATATGTGCCATTAACGGTGGTATTTGTCTCTTTAAAATCAATCAGAAGGATTTTTTCACAATCCCAAAATATCGTAGCCATTACCTTTTTCGTTGATTGGCTACATTTTCGTGAGGGGGCTTCACCCTTATGGCGCCACTCCATTGATTCCCTTTTCGACAGAGGATCATAATAAAGAACCATAGTTTCATCTCCAGTGACTATTGTTTCCAACACGGGGTTCGGATCATCTCCACACAGTTCCAAAAACCATCGAGCACACTCGACACGACGTTGCTTCTAAATCGCCGAAAGGTGTTTGGGCACCCATCTTGCACTAACCTTATGTATACCCAAATGGTCATGGAGGATTCGGCGAACAGTGGTATCAGAAAGCTTCGTCATTTCTGCCATTTCCTTGACCTTCAAACGCCGGTCACTTAGCACCAGGTTTTCCACAAAGGCCACTTTGTCCTCCGTTATCACCTCCACTGGCCGCCAGGTCTTTCGTCATCTTCAAGGGATTCCTGGCCCATGCGAAAACGTTTTGCCCATTCCTGCACTACCGAATAGGAAGGGGAACTTTGGCCATATACGCCATCGAGTCTTTCTTTAATAATTTTAGGTGTAAGCCCTTCTTTTGTTAAAAATTTAATAACCGCTCTGTACTCAATTTTCGTCACCTGAGACATTTTTGGAGATACTTTAGTTCAAAATGCTGACAATTAAAAACTATTTGACGTAAGTCGCTTATTTTGTTACCTCAGCCTACTAAGGTTTGTAGTTATAAAATGTTAAACTTTTATCCTGATAAAATATCTGCAACTATGTCAGGCCGGGAATTATTGGCGCTTACCTCTACATGGCACAGGGTGTGCCTAAATTATATGAAGCCCTTTTTTTTTCATCTCGCAAAAGTAACAGTATTTGAACAAATTGATGAATATCTGATTTGGACAATCATTATTGGCAAAGTCATTGTTTATAAAAATGTATTGTTCCAAAAATACATTTTAGAAATAATATATGGTATGAATATATGGCGAATGTTTATTTTTATTTATTTTCCATTGTTAGGATAAGGTAAAAAAGAAAATAAAACAATAATACGAATAAAATAAGCATTTATATATCCAAAGAGACAACTAAGTACATTATGTACAGAGTAAAGCATATTCATCATAGAAAAATTACTAAACGATCCGATGTGTAAAAAAATCCTAATAAGCGGAAGCTATCATCTTTTGAATGTGCAAAGAAAAATTTAATTTACTACCAAAATTAGAAGAAACAGGGATAGAAATTAAGACAATAAAAAAATTAATAGGGGTGACTTGTTTCTGGAGATACAGGGAAATAAAGAAAAAGCAGTCACGTTAAAGGAAATAATAAAAACTAATAACGCCAATAGAGATGTCACAATTATATAATCCTCCACATCACAGATATTGATGCCAGTATCAGAGAGCAGGAATTCAAAATGGAACTACTAAACAGAAGGAAAAAACTGAAAGAGGATGAGATAAAGGTGATATCCATGCGTCCCACTCAAAACGGCAACCAAACGGCTACAGTAGCCATGAAGAAAGAAGTAGCAATAGATATTGCTAATATAGGAAATATTAAGATAGGTTGGATCAATTGCAGAGTCAGGCAAAGAGTGCACATGACCAGGTTCTTTAGGTGCCTCCAGTTTGGTCATACAAGAAAGGACTGCCAGGAAGAAGACAGAAGCGACCTCTGCTTAAAATGCAGAAAAGCGGGCCATAAAGTTAAAGAATGTGAAAACACCCCTTTCAACTTAACATGCAGGATAGGACACAGAGAAGATCAGACAAGCTGCCCACATTATAGAAATATAATCAGAGAAAGGCAAAGTAGTCCAGTAACTGAAGACCTGAAAATATGCAAAGCTGTCATTAAGTCGGTCCAGATTTTCTTTGTGGCTCAATTCTTAGGTCTTGACGGTTGCTTTCAAGGGCGAAAACTTTTACCAACTCTGCTGCGTCGGAAAGGGCCAAAAATGGACCCTAAAACTGGTTTCCCGCCAATATCTTCCACAATATGCAAATTAGAGAATTTTTGTTTATATAAAAAAGAAAGATCTTATCATTATCTACAAAAATGGTCCCTATCATTTTTGTCGGGAATTCAACAGGTTTCGAGATAACCGCAATCAAAAGGCCCCTCGTTCAGCCACTGCTTTATCTCTAAAGCAATGCTGATTAGCTTGTAAACGGGTGGACAAATTGTTTCAGAACTCGGTCAAAAATTGATATTTTTCGATGATTCAAAGTTCATTACAATGGGAAAACCCATAGGTATCGATCCATGTGCCTTGAAGCCCGTTATTTCCTGTCAAGAACATTGAAAAAGGGGTCAAAGTTGCGTTTTCCCACTATTTTGGACCACTTTATAGTAATTCATTTATATTTTTTTTCTTTTAATAGTTTTTTATCCAATTTTTGTTTTAAATGGGATCTTGAGATGTCTCGAATGATCTCAGAATTTTTTTTTCTGGCGTTTTAAAACAAAGTTGATTTGTTTATTTGCATTTTTAATACGTTTTCGGAGTTCTAGAAATCTTTGAAATAAGCAGTAATTAAAAACTCATATTTCATTATATTGTTATTCAATGCACACCATTTTAAAGCTTAGAGTGTCAACTTTTCGAATGTATTTTTTTAAAATGGTGTGCATTGAATAACAATATAATGAAATATGAGTTTTTAATTACTGCTTGTTTCAGAGATATCTAGAACTCCGAAAACGTATGAAAAATGCAAATAAACAAATCAATTTTGTTTTAAAACGCCAGGAAGATACTGGAAAAAAATTTCTGGGATCATTCGAGACATCTCAAGATCCCATTTAAAACAAAAATGGGATAAAAAACTATTAAAAGTAAAAAATATGAATGAATTACTATAAAGTGGTCCAAAATAGTGGGAAAACGTAACTTTGACCCCTTTTTCAATGTTCTTGACAGGAAATAACGGGCTTCAAGGCACATGGATCGATACCTATGGGTTTTCCCATTGTAATGAACTTTGAATCATCGAATAATATCAATTTTTGACCGAGTTCTGAAACAATTTGTCCACCCGTTTACAAGCTAATCAGCATTGCTTTAGAGATAAAGCAGTGGCTGAACGAGGGGCCTTTTGATTGCGGTTATCTCGAAACCTGTTGAATTCCCGACAAAAATGATAGGGACCATTTTTGTAGATAATGATAAGATCTTTCTTTCTTATCTAAACAAAAATTCTCTAATTTGCATATTGTGGAAGATATTGGCGGGAAACCAGTTTTAGTGTCCATTTTGGGCCCTTTCCGACGCAGCAGAGTTGGTAAAAGTTTTCGACCTTGGAAGCGACCACCAAGACCTAAGAGTTGAGCTACAACGGAAATCTGGACCGACTTAATGACAGGTTGGTCCCTTCAGTTACTGAACTAAAGGACGTTATCTACAGCAAGTAGCGTATTTCGTAGATAAAAATAAATTTAAAATACTACAAACGAATCTGGGTAGAGGGCGGGTAGCACACGATATTGCATATAAAGTAACGATTGAAAGGGAAATAGACCAAATAAAAATATAATAAATGGGGCGGGAGGGTATCAGACGATAAAGGAGATGTT